GGTGCCAAAATTTCCTCATCATGTACTGTAAGGAAGAACGGCATTTGTAAGCTCCTACAGACTGCAACCATGAAACTTTCATTTCCGTTCATTCCTGCATAACCTATAAGCATTGGTTTCCTGACTAAACAAACCTTGCAGCCAAAAACCTGTAGTTCTTGTCAAGTTGTTTAAATCATTGGAGAAGAACCTTGCTAGATTGTGCGGCTGAGAATTGTGACAGTACGGTGTTCTGATCTAATCGAAGAATTGGTTAGGAGATTGTGGTACTGTTGTAGGTTGTCTTTAGTTGAATTTGATTTTTCCTGGACTTGGCTGAAGGGATGTATACTGTAGTCATGAGTTTAGCCATTCAATAACTGCTGATGAAGAAACATCATGTATGATAACATAACAAACATGGTAAATTCGACCACACACTTCTTCGACGATGACGTACCGCACTAAACCTCAGTCAGTTTATCATGACATGATGAAGACGGTCACTTTCAACGTAAGTAGATTATAACAGCATCGTCATTCTAGAACGGTGCAAACAGCAATACAAAACAATATAGTAACACCGTACCACTTACGCCTATCATCGTGGAACAAAGTCATGAGTAGCCTTCGGAACTGAAGTTGGAACTTTAAGAACATTAGCCTGCTGCTGTGTTATAAGCAAGAAGAAAAGGCTGACAGCATGCCATAATAATTTTGCCTGTTCAATTTATTGTGAACTGATGATGGGTTTGTGAACAGCAGTCAAATAAAGACCAATTCCTACGTCCAAAGGCTACATGGCAATGCAAACGGTGAAAATTGAAAAATAGCCAAATTGACTAAATCCAGACGCTATATGGCATCATACGCGGAGACTAAATCCGGAGGTTAAATAGTAATATAAACGGTGAAAATTGAAAAATAGCCGAATCGACTACAGCATTAACGTCGTTGAAATGTTCAATAATTTAGCCTAAAACTAAACTATCTCAGCAACCTTCCTCACGGCAAGAAAAATTGTTTTACTTAAGTATTACATGTCCGTCACCGGTAGCCAATGTAATAAACTGTCAAGACTAAAAATCAACAGTTTCTGTGGTACAGGAAATTTTCATTCAGCTGGTACATTCACTGGAACATTCATTACTTTTGCAAAACCTATTTTCTTATGCTGACCACATGAAAATTGCTTTAGGAGGCCTTTTCAATTGTCTCTCTCCACTGCCGAAAGTACAAGTTCAATGGAATGGACTAAACATTACGATAATGTCAGGTCTTCCATACAATGTAAGTAAATTATTTGTGATCTATACCTGGGTCGTTTCCTTTAGCTTCGCGAGCTGAAGGTTCAGTGAAGTATATTTTAGGTATTACAGTTTCAAATTACCATTCCGCATCCTCGTTCTTAGCGGCACAGCCACTAAACTTTCACAAACACATTTTGGTCTATTCAGTAAAATGCTTTAAATTTTTTCAGCGAGTCTTACGTGTCCTACGTAATTTCCTAAACATGATGCGATCACGGCAAAAACCGGGATATGGAGAGTGTAGAGGGCTCAAATTGGATGGTTCAGTAGTCAGATGCTACCGAAACGCTTACCTCGTTAATCGAGTGAGTAACATATGTGGGTACGGAATCCAATGAGCCATTGCGAGAGTCAAAGCAGTTGCCGGTCAAAGCAGGATAATTGGAAAAAGTCCGTCGGAGGAATTCTGACCACTGGGGCATTCATATTCATTACTTGCTTTGTTTTCGCCTGAGATCAGAAAGAATTTCTAGAAACTTAAAACTTCCTTGAAACTATTTTGTCAAAGTCTTGCAATCATCAACTTTTTTACACCCGATGTGTTTCCTCACTGAAAGTGATCTATTTTCTTTTTCTTACTGAAAGAATAACGGCTGTCAGTTTCGATGCTCGAAAGCCCTCACGATTTATTAGAGCTTAATATCGTCATTCGGAAAGTTCCTGCCTTGGCCTCTTTCTCGACTTTGATCTGTCATAAAATATGAATCTTTCACCTATGTATTTAAATTAATTAGCAAGCACTGGCATCAACCGAACTGCCTATTTTTACAGCATTAAGTCCTTAAACAGTGAGTGACGAATTCGTAAATCAGGTAGGTTTTAGAATTCGAAAATCCCTCACGGGATGACACCATATCAATCAATCAATCAATCAATAATCAGTGATATACATACTCTTTGACGTCTCAGATAATGCAGTTTTTAAGCTCCGCTTATCAGAGAGATAATATAAAACAGGAAACATTACAGCATAAACCCAACATGGTACAGTATAAATAATTTTAGTGCGATTAAATGATGACTCTGTTCTTCAGATTGCAGATGAAACCGCGGTGGAGCAAAACATGTTATTACACATATAGTGGGTGACTCATTTGGCACATTGTGCAAATCTGTGCCGCCTTTGCAAATGTTCATTATTCATCATCTTACGTGTACTTACAATACCCCTGCTGTTGCAATACGTCGGCAGTTAAATTACGTTTAAGCGTAATTATCAAATACCAGTTTTTGAATAAACACATCAGTCGGTGTTTAACTTTGCGAAAATGAGAGCAAATGGCAGATGAAGAGAGGAAAAAACTACCTCCTTATTTCTGTCATCGCTACACGTTCATTGCCTGTCTAGACGACTGCTAATTAAGGCAGCTTCTTTCGAAAGCGCATGATTATTAATTCATTCACCAATTCGTCCAGTCTTTTTTTCATCTGCCTCTCTGCAACGAAACTTGATGGTGTGTTGGCCCACGGATTGGTATCGTACGAGTTAAAACTCAGCTAATTTGTTCAGAGCATTTGAGCTTGCATGCATTGTAGAGAAATTCCTGATTGCTGACGAACAGCCAGTAGGTGAAAGGTCAACAACGACGAAGCCGGAGGACCCCCGTTTGATCGCTGCGAGTCTGTCCCTCTAAAAACGTTGGCGACTTCCATTCGACCACTGCTTCCGAAACAGCCCAAGGATGTGAAGAAGTTCGCAATTCGGATACATGCGTAGCCATTCCATTCGCGATTCACTGCTTCCTGGTTTACGGAACTGCCCATTCGGCATTAGACAGACCGTTGCAACAGCCACTTTATAGACCTCTTCTGAGCATTTAAAGCTGCGTAACGGCATACACGTTTGCAAAAGGCTGGTACGACCACTGCTAGCTTCAGTGGCTAGTGGAATACTTCTTATATTGATACCAGAACGCTGTTCTGAGGGCGATATGCACACCGATGGAAAGGAATAACTTGGACATTCTGCAGACTTCAATAACTGTTCGTAAACTTTGATATTAGTACGCTTAATACAACCAAGCTGGTCTCATGCATGAATACACAAACGATGTCTCTAATCTCAGCCATCGACTATATACCGGACTGGTCCAGAATACAAGACAAAGTAGAGTTGAGCGTTGGATTATAAAGATGCAATATTAAACAGGAAGAAGAGCACCAAAATGAAATAACAGACGAAGAATACCAGATCCAGGTTCGAAAAACTGCTTGCCTGAATTCGCCACGTCGAGCAATTCCTGTGGATTGAGATCTGACTCGGAACTGAGCTCCGTCAATTTCCAGCGAGCATAACGTGTTCACAGAAAAGAGGCTTTCTTCAGCACATAGGTGCATGAATTGTACACATACTTTATATGACTTCACACACAAGAATTCCCACGCTTTAATTCAGTGACACATGGATCACAACTCTCGCTAGAGAAATGCAACTGCAGGTCATGCGAAGGCTCATGTAAATGCTAATTACAACTGGCAATATGAATGACTCCAACTTTAAAAGCGAAATTAAGGGTGTCATTTTGAAAAGGAAACACACGGATCGCGCATGTTAAAAAATGATAACTAAATTGATTTCGACTGGGATTCGCAAAACATCAAAGGTTCGACGAAGGCCGACGGCTCGCTGAGTCGATCCCGTATAAAAGCCTACGACAAACTTGATTGGCTAAGGACAGAAGATCATCATACTATAACTACAATCTACACGTGCAACGATGACACCACAGATGATCATAACATCAAACCGTTGCTCTTGTCTTTGTCACCAGATGCCAACAAATGTTGAACCAGTCGGTTAGAACTCTAATACCTGACCATTTCAAACTTATTAGTATACTATGAAACGTTCGTTGCTGTGAAAATTGCACTTTTATTGTCGCGCTAAGATCAATTTCAACGAGAAGTCATAATGGTTAAATTATCCTTCAAGCATCTGCGACCAAGAGGCGGTTCTCACATGAGAAAAGTGCCATCTTCCTTTTTCAGACCGTTCTATCAAACTAAGCCAATTGCCTGACTCAAAGTTCTTTAGACGCTATTTTCAGACCGCTGATCGCTTGCATCTAATCTTTTGTGACACAGTTGTAACGCCAATACACCCTGTAAACCACGATGTTTGTGATATTTGAGGATAACAGACGTTCCACGGTGTCTATGAAAACAGCGAAAACGGCCTCCTTAGTAATGACTTATATCGCATCTATACAGTTTCCACTTTTCAAACAGCTTTTCAAAATTTTCTGACTTCAGTTCAATGTGTGGCTAACTTCAGGAATGATACCACTACAACTAGTAACGACTTTTCCAAGAAAAAAAAAGAACATCCAAACAATGCAGAGCCCTTACGACTTGAGGCATTCTGCAGAAGAAAATGAGTGCAACCAAATTTATCAATCAGTTGCCGAGTACAAACAATAATACTATTAATAATTTTCGAAACGAATATATTCTTCAACTGATTATAATTAAAAACGATAAAGTACAGAATAAAAACATATTTGGGCAAAGCCTTCACAACGGTAACAAACTACATAATTCGCTGGTACGAGAAAATAAAAATTCAACAACTCTGTTGACTACGCATAACAAAACAAAGTCTGCTACACGGCAGGATGCGAAGCAGCATTACTATCGGTTTCGTCAGCAAAGTTACAGAGAAGTACACAAGATAAAATAGGGTAACCAATTACAAAAGGCGGATGGCAACTGTCACGTGATTTTCGCCTTCTCTGATCCCCTCGGTATACGACCATTCATCTTAACGAAATTTGGCGTTATGACGTCGATGTTCGCACACTGCTCGTTTTGTGACCTGTAGTCGCTGTCAATATTCTCCATCTAAACACAGTAACTGTTTGACGATGCGACGTTAAAGGGTCAAGAAAACCGCTACAGCAAAATAACTAAAGAAAAG